CAAATGTAATATAAATATACAAAGCAAGTATTCTTTTTTGTTTTTTTAATTTTTAGCTAGGCAATGGAGTTAAGTGAGTTTCTCAGGGTCACACAGCAAGTAAGTGTCAAGTGTCTGAGGTTGCATTTGAACTCAGGTTCTCCTGGCTCCAGGGCCAGTGCTTTATCTACTGCATAACCTAGTTGCCTCAAAAGCAAGTATTCTTGAAAAAGTGGTTCTTTTTTTGCATGGAAAAAGTCTAGGATGAGATTTCTGAAGAATTATTAGTTTAATGGATGCTGTATGTTCAGAGATAGTGAATTTCAAATTGTGCCTCTGTTTAATGTGATGATGATGGTGATAATTAATGATAATGATGAAGATGGTGATACTAGCTCTGGCTTAAGCATAATAAAGTAAGGATAAAAAGTAGGCTTTGTGTCACATAGAAAAGATAGTGTCCATTCCTCTGCCCGTATTAGTTTAAAAAAAATGTAAGCCAGGCTGCCTGGAGCTTCACCTTTTCATTCAGCATAGCTTGCTGCTTTGTTTCTCACTTGACATAATGACAGTGAAATGGAGGGCCAACCCTGATTTCAGCAGGTCACTGATTTCCTGATAGCTACACATTTCCAGTGCAATTTTTCTCTGTCCTATGTTGCTGTGGGGATGGCTGATTAATTTACAATCTGAAATCTTGGCTTCATATCTAAATATATTTTTTAAAAATTTCAGAGTAGCATAATTGTCAGCATTTGTTTTTAGATAACTGTCAAAATGATGAGAAAAGTATTTATTGAGCGTTGTTTATATACTTACTGTACAGCCATCTGAAGACATAATAATAGAAAAGGGAATAATTTTTTAAAATTATTGGCTCATTTAGAAAATGGATTAACTCAAAAGCTTCCAGCCTTTAGATGTGTTCCAGGTTCCTTTCCCTTTGTGAGAGAGGTGATGGCAGAAAGCCAGACTTATTATGGAGCTCCTACCAACACAGACTTTTATCCAAACACTACCCACACACTTCAAAAGGTAACCTATACCCTCTAATAATAAGCCTTTTGTGTTAGTTTTAGAATGTTTCCCCTACTCTGGTGCTTCTGGATAACAAGCAATGCTGGTAGATCAGAGTATTTTTTCTTAGATTAATTTTGAGAACCACACAAAATCTTCCATGAAAGAGAAAACCTCAAAACAATTTTTTTTAAAAAAAAATGAACTCTTTGTCTGGTATCAGATCCAGAATTAGAAAGTCATGCAAGTTCTGGCCAAATGTTTAACAATTATTCATTCAAGTATTTATTGAGTATATACTGTTAATAGAGCACTGGGCTAAGGTATTGTGGAGGGATTTAAAGGAAATAAGATAGAGTCACTAACTTTGAAGGTTTTGCAGTGTCTCTGAGGAAGAAACATGTGTCCATCAAGAATTATGTATGAATTCAATGAAATTTAATTAAACTATGGACCTATTTGTGCCAATACTGTGCTATGTATTTGGTGAGATAACAGAGTTTACATGTAACATGGGTATATTGGTCTATGGAGGGTTATCCCTTGAAGTATGAGTGGATATTCTCTGCCTGGTTTCATTCCTTTAAATATGTAAAGAAATCCCACATCTGGCTTCGTATTCCCATGTAGAAACTTGGGAGCAATTAGGTTCTAGCCAGGATAACTCAGGAGTTGCTATGATGTAATAATGAAGTATCTTCTAATTGACTGTATAGCCAGAAGACCTGATGACTCAGGGGTTGCTGAATCAAAGCTAAGAGCTCATACAAAATGGACAACCTGCCCATCTCTCTCTCTCTTTCTCTTTTCCCTTTGTGGACATAAGGAGGCAGGACTATACTTTGCTGCCTCAAAGAGCCAGGTGGGGGAAGAATGACTTTCCTATCTTCTATCTGGCTATGGCAGCTGTGATGACACAGCTACATCTTTCTCTGGTGGTTGTTTCCCCCTGATTTTAGGGAAATAAATTTCTAATATGGATATGTCCAGGCAGAGACTTTGTGAGTTCAGACAATCCAGAAACTGTGCCAGAGGTCCCACAAGTAACCAGAGACAGTAGCAGTAGCCACAGGAATTGGAAGGTGGCCAAACAGCAACCCTGGGATGGATGTGCCCAGGCAGCAAATTTGTGGGCATTTCAAGGTCTGGAGAGTTTGCAGAACAATAGCTGGAACCTTCCCTTTTCTCGCACTTGAGCATAAATGGAAGGCAGAGAGTACCAGCAGCAGTTGAGCAGTCTGGTCCAGCAGAGAAGTGACCTGTCTCAGCAGTAGATTAGCCTAGAGTTGCCATACTCTGCAAAGAACCACTCCAGTAAAGAAACTTATCCAACCCTTATGCAACACTCTCCAGCAAACTTCATGAGGACTCCGCAAAGAGGATAAAGGACTTCCAAGGCCAGGGGTTGGGCAGCACATCTTTGCCATACATATTCTTTGTCCATATGCTGTGCTTTCATTGTACTCTAACTTTAAAACCCATTATTCCCCTGGGTTACCTTTTAAGAGCAAGGAGAGAGTGTTCACCTGTTTTTTTCCTGGGGATTTTTTTGGTAACTATTGTTCAGCTATACTTTATCAATTAATCCCTTTTCTAAAAGGTAATGGAATAAAGTGATTGGCTGTTAGTGGGGAGTATACTAGTGGGGACTTTGAGTGACATTATTAAAAACTTCAGTCCTTTAGGGTTACCCTATGGACCCTGGAGAAAATAAAAGTCAGCTGCCCTCTGAAGACCCCAGACAATGAGTACAGGTTTGAGTTGAAGAGTGAGCCCCAGAAGGGGTGCTAAATTGCTTTCTTCATGGAGAAGTCAAGTAAGGGGATGACATATGTACAAAATATCCATAATATGAAATAGTATATGCTCACCAAAGCATTTGCCTATCGTATGGAATATAGCCCATGCATAATCGAATAAAGAGCTTTTCTTAAGAAAATGAGATTTTTCTAGAAGAATCATGCCAAAGGTTGTCCTCCATATTTAATTAGTCCAAAGGAATAGGTGCATTAAGAGCTCAGCCTATGTTCCTGAGATTTGGCAGAATTTCCACTGGCTTACAGAATGTCTTTTTGATCCAGAGTTTCTGCCTAGCAAATGCACAAGTAGAGGGGAATGAAATCTGTTTTTAGTAATTATATAATTTTAATCCTTTATTGAAATGATTGTTTCATTGTGTTTTGTGGTCCACAAGGGTTTCATTGCATTCTAATTCCGAGTCTGAATAACAGGACTAACCTGAACTTGGTCTGGCTGAGAATATTGAACGAAGGCTGCATCAGTAATGAAACATGATGTGTTTGGGGTAAAGTGAGGGATTACTTTGGCTGGAGTGGAAGGTTTGTATTAGAGAGTATTGGAAGATAAATTTGTATAGAAATGGAAGGATTATATCATGGAGGGTCTTTCAAAAAAAGGTTGAGTTTGGACATCATCCTATACTTATCCTAAGTTTTTTAGATTTTAAAGACTCACGTTAAAATTAAAACAAAACCATTCTGTCAAAATACATGTGCATCATGGTGCACAAAGAAATTCAAGCCTACATCATTACAAGACCCTTATCACCTCTTGCCTGGACCATTGTCCAGGCTAATTGGTATCCTTCCCTCAAGTCCTACCCTACTGCAATCTATCTTCCACTACTAAAGAGATTTTTTTAAAAAATCAAAGGTATGACTATGTTATTATTCTATGAAATAAACTTCAATGGCTCCCTATTAACTTTAGGATCAAATATAAAGACATGCTTGGCTTTTAAAGCCCTTTACAACCAGGCCCCAATCTATCATTCTAGGCTTGTTATACCTTATTACTTTTTTCACATTCTCTAGTCCAACCAGTTTGGTTTTCTTGTTGTTCCTTACACTTGACATTCCATTTCCCATCTCTTTGGGATGAGCTATCCTCTTTTGAATGAGCTGCCTTCTTACCTCTACCTCTTGCAATCCCTTCTTTCCTTCTAAACTCTGTTCAGTTGTCTCCTTTCACATGAAACCTATCCTATAGGCTTCCTACAACTGCTAGTTCCCTGACCCAATTACCTTATATTTATATTCTATATATATTATACACACACACACACACACACACACACACACACATTATATCCTCTTTCTCATGATAGAATATAAGCTCTTAGAGGACAGGAGATGTTTTATTTTTTTCTTTCTATCCCCAGTGCCTAGGATACTAATTGATAGTGATTGACTCAAGGACTCTTTGTAGTGACTGTATTGCCAACTAGGAAATCATTGTTCATACAGGTTAGAAACCACTAATGTAGATAATTGGGGGTTATTGACTATTTCTGAAGTCTTAGAAAGATTATTCTGGCAATGATGTGCAAGAAGACTTGGCAGTGAAGGAACTGGAAGCAGTTAGACTAGATAGAATACAACAGCTAGCACTGAAAATAAAAGGGTAAACATGATGTATAATTTATATCTTCACCATAAGTATAATTCATCTTTTTTTAGGTAAGATAAACCTTCTGATTTGCAAATTTCCTGTGGGGAAACCTATATTATTATGTCAACAATAAATGTAGTTGATAACAGAGGTACAAACCCAGATACCATGATGTATACTAAATAGCTGGTGGATTTTTTAGGGGGAGGGGTCTAATGATCTCATTGGTATAGGGAGTCTCAATGAAGAAACTCCCTCTACCAATTCCTAGTTGTAACTGTTCTGCAACTTATATGATTAGAGAATTGGCTGGGGTGGGGCATAAAAGGTTAAATGGTTTGACCAAGGTCGCACAAAATATGTATCAGAGGAAGGACTTTAACCAACATCATTCTTACTCCAACACCAGCCTGTCCTCTGGCTTAGGTATCTCCTACCTTGTAAAAAATAATACTTTCTTCTTAGGAGTCTATTATAAAACTGTGGTTATTCCAGCTATTTCACTGTTGAGTTGTTAAAAAAAAATCTGCTGCATCTTTTTCCTCCAGGAAGTTCTCAAACTGACAAAAAAAAAAAAACCTCTTTCTTCTCAGGTACCTCTAGATCATCTGTCATCCGATGCAAACCAGGAGCCAACTGCCCCAATTCGCACAGTAGCATTGTTAGGCAGCTGTCCCCTTTGTCTGGTGCTGAAGATTCTGCAGCCCCCATTCTTGAACTCCAGAATCGAGGTTCCTCTGGAGTTTGTGGACACAGCAGAGGGGAAAGACAGAACAGATCAGGTAGGCACGTCAACTGTTCTTAAGATGTCAATGTGTCTTTGTGACAAATATTCTTATTTATCCATCTGTGAAAGATGTCAGACTATGGAGGAGTTAACACAGACACCTTTGAACAACCAAACAACACAGGAATATTTGGGAGATAAGAGGCAGAGAAAGAAGGAAAGTCTAAACATATGATCTAGCAGGAACATTGCCTAATAGCTAATAAAGTAGGCACTGGTACAGAAAGCTTTAAAGATGATTAAAATACAGACACCTAACAAGTCTTAACAAATAATTATTTTCCCCATCTTCAGGCTCCTGGAGAACTTGGCTCCCTTATTATTCTGAGCAGTGGTTTAAGCATATCACTCTCTGGTTCTTAGAAGTAAAATTTTGTTAAGTAAAAAATGATAAAAGACATCAAGGGATCAATTAGCAACTGCTGTTCACCTTTATCTGGACCTCATAAACACCAGTCTAGATGTAGAGAGTGATCAGGGTACACTAGATTAGTGGTGGTGGGGGATGGAGGCACATGCAGTGGAGACCAGGGTAATGAAGATAAGGAATGGGCTGGAGGTAGTGTTTGCATATAGGTTATATTACACTGTGCTGGGCTTACAGGACATGAGTCTTGATTTCCCACTTGGAGTCAGAGCTCAAATACTGCTTCACATAACTCTGTGACTATGGATAAGCCATATTTAATTCACGAAGCCTCAGTTTCCTCCTCTATATAATGGAGATAAAAAAACTCATACTATCTTACAGGGTTATTGTTAGAAAAACAGTTTGCATATACCTTTAAGTGATATATTAATGTGAGTATCCATAATTATTCCTTGGTTCTAATTCCTGTTCTCATTCTATAAATCTTCTCACTAGTTAGTCAATTAATATTTATTAAACATCTGCTATGTGAAGGCCACTGTGCTAAGTGCTGGGAATGCAAAGAAAAGCAACTGACAGTCCCTGCTCTTGAAGAGCTCGCAGTCTAATGGGGGAGACAGTATGCAAATAACTACATACAAACAAGCTATGTTTAGATATTGTAAGGCATTGAATTTAGAGTTAGAAAGACCTGTGTTCAAATCCTGCCTAATTAGGTTTGTGATCCTGGATAAGTCATTTGACCTCTCTGTGCCTCAGTTTCATTATTTGTAAAATAAGTACATTGGACTCAATAACCTCTAAAATCCATTCCAACTCTTAGTCTATGATCCTATGATATTAGGCTCATGACTCAGCCCTCCCTCTAATCACCCAATCCATCAGATCCATGTTGTCTTTGCTCACATTTTTCTCTGAAATGATCAGCCATTTCAATTATATTCTCACTAGCCTAGTAGGACCCCTACAACCTTGACCTTCTGCTATGCCTTAAAGGGTGAATTCCCCAATATGATTTTTCTACTCCCATTCTTGGGCTCCCAAATTCTTCTACTGAAAATCACATTTTTTTCTACTTAATTTATAATCTTTCTCTCTCTCAATAATCGCTTTGTTTTTATAGAAATTTCCCACAACAACTATTCCATACATTTTCCAATTTAAGCTCAAATTCCATTTCTTTTTGCTCACTCAAAGAAATTAATTTAAACATATTTTACTGAGATCAAGGCCATGTGACATGAGCTCTCTCAACTTTCCTTCTTTCCACCTTGAAAATTCTCTTTTCCTATTAAATATTCTGGTTAATAGAAATCTACTATGAATAAGTGAATGCAGTAAGAGCATTTATTAAGTACATTCCATGTACAAAGTATTTTGCCAAGTGCTAGAGATACAAATGAGAAAGCAGAAAACATGTCTGTTCTCACAGATCTCACATTCGAATAGGAAGAAGCTACTCATATAGGAAGTTTCAGGGGCAAGTCATATGAAAAGGCTTCCAAGTCCTTAGGGTGCAGGGGCAAAATTGATGGTGATGCATCTTCTTTAAAATAATTTACACTGATAAAATCATCTCTTTTTCTTATGTTGAACCATTTGAGAGTAGCAAGGATTTTAGCAGCAGGAACTTTCTTTTCCTCTCTTTTCTTCCTTTTCCTTTCTTTCCTTCCTTTTCCTTTCTTAAGTACTTTGACTGCTGAGGAAGCAACGGCTGAAACATTTGCAGGAGCAGGTCAGGTCACATCTCTACAATAGCTGTTTCCCTAGATGAAAGTTTCAGGATCTGGACTGGAAGTGGGACCATTATTTTCGTGACGCTGCTGTTCCTGGGGTTCTGTGGGCTTGCCTGATTATTGGTGACAGTTGATCATCAGTTTATGTGGTTGGTGGCAAGGATAGTGGGCCCCTTCTCCACAGAGATTTCTCCCCTTGGTGATGGCTATGAAGGTCCATGCTAGGAGAAGGGATCATGGTCTGAGTAATACTGCTATTCCCAGGGCTCTTGGGTCCAAAGGCCCTGGGCTCTTTCTATAAAGGTGTTAGAGGAGGTGATGGTTGAGGTGGTGGTGTTAGTTTGACTCATCTGACTTGTGAGCCAGGAGCACCTTAGTTCAAAGACCCACCTCTAAATATGCTCACCCTAAGTGAATGTCTACTCTGATGCCTTGGCATAGAGCTGGCTTCTGAATTCTGAAAGGTTATGCCAGGAAAGTGAAAACTCCATCAAGTCCTACAACAGATCAAATTTTTAAGAAATCCAAGTTCAGAGATTCACCAGCAGACTGGCACCAGATGGTGAATTTTTCTTCTATGACAATTTCAGAAGACCATCTAACACTCATTGCCTCCATCCACTTCTTCACTACCAACTGTCCAATTCGCTGTAATCTAGTTTCTGACTCTACTACTCTATAGAATCTACTCTCAATGAACCACAAAATTCAGTTACCATTTCTCAGTCTTCATTTTGCTTGACTCTTGGCAATATTTAATATGATTGACCATCTGTTCTTCCTTGAAGCATTCTGCTCACTTTCACTCCATGATGGTATGTTTTCCTGGTTGTCTTCCTTCCTCTTTGACTGCTCAATCTTTGCTTTATTCCCTCTGGTGAATAGATGTTATTAGGATTTCCATTTTATAGACAAGGAAACTGAGATGAACAGAGGTTAAATGACTTGCCCAGGATCACGCATGTAATTTCTGAGAAAGTAATTGAATTTGGGTCTTCCTGACTCAAAGTCCAACGCTATCCAATATGCCACCTAACTTCCTCTGCCCATTCTGCTGCTGCTCTCTATGCCTCTGCAACAAGAACAACTAGTTCTTGATTTATCCACACAGTTGCACTGAATGAAGCTCTGTCATTGATTTATAATCCCCAAGTTACTTTCAATAAATCTAGAATCCTCTTGATGGCTGGTAAGATTTTTTTATAATCCACTCATATTCCTGGATAATCAATTAAGTAATCATTTTTTTCTTCCTCCAAAGGTGGAAAGAAAGGAGAAAGAACTCATATAATGTTACAGTTTTACCTATAACTCAAGAAAAATAATAATGCAATATCAAAGGTCACAAATAACAATCCCCTTTGTTACACTCCCATAGCACTCTTTTGGTACCTCACTTCTTCCATGCTTAACTGTATTGTATTCGTTAGTATAAATGCTTTATCTTTTCTATTAAATGTTGAGGCACTTGAGGGCAGAGAGCATGTCACCTTAGACAAACAGGTTTCAATTCTATTTTCTGTAAAATGAAGGAAGTGATTTAGATGACCTTCAAGGTCTGTGAGAGCTCTTGGTATGACATAGATGAACTTTTTAGTTGGTTGTGACATGGCACTGATTAGGACAATGAGCAACGTGGCCTCACAGTCTTCTTGATTTGAGAAAAAGTGGTTAAGTGATCAAAAATGAATAGTATCCATCCATCCAAAAATGAATAGCACCACAATAAACTCTAACTGGTTCAATGATCTAAATATTTTAAATGATTTTTTAAAATGGAAGGAAAGCAATAATATTTATCAGTATTTAACTTTGGTGAGTACCAAATAACACCACAAAATAAAATAGATTATATCTGAACTACTTAAACAATAAATGACACTAAAAAATAGGAAATGAACAACAGAAATGTTCAGAATAATTATATGGAGAAGCTTATTGAACATAAATCTATTGACACAGCAAAAGGACCAAAGAAGTGCAGAAAGCAACTTCATCAGCAAACATCTGACTTAGTTGCTAGGCAGAGAGTCCAGCACAAAGTCAGAATAGCTAATCATTTGCAAAATCTTATAAAGAAGATTGTTGTAAAATTATGATCAATATCATTTCAAAAAACATAAGAGAAAATTTAGCAAGATATCCAAGCAAAGTCACACCCATGGGCATTTAAGAATGAAAATGGAAGGAGGGCAATAAACAAAAAAGTGTAAAAATCATCATAAGGAATTTTTTCTCCAACAAAGATGGTAGAGCGGTAACACTTTGAACCTAACACTGTAGTCCCAGTTGTGCTTATAAAGGTGGTAAAAATGACAATAAAAAGGAAAAAAGACAGGAAAAGCTTGGACAAAATGTGATGATTTTGAGGATCAGTATACAATATCAAAGCAAGGGAAGATACTTAAGATATGGTAAAAATCTTTGGCCTATTTAACACTGAAAAAAAGATGATTACTGTATCAATGTATATAACTTCTGCCCATCCTTACACAATCTTTATGAGTAATTCACACATGAATCAAGACATCTTAATGATGGTATTTATAAACAAATAAGTAGACTTTCACAAATTATATATGATCATGGACCACATCTTTACCACTTTGCAATTGACTAAAAGATGCAGAGAATATATGATCTCATTGTGCTTATTGTTTGTTGATTATGAAAAGGCTGCCTTTAGGGCTTTTTTTTCCAACAAGGTACCTCACATTCATGTATCAAAATCATTCAAGATTACTTTAAAGATCTAATAATAGACATAAACCTGTTCAAGGATGTCTGATTATAAACAACAGGTGAGGTACAAAATGAGGAGATACATGCTCCCCAAAGGTATTCACCACCATCTGGCACACAGTGAAAATTAAAGAGGGTCTTCAGATG